GGGGGAGACAACAATCGTTCCTCTGTGTCACCCTGAGTCCTGACCATCATCTGATACCCTCAGCCCGGGAAGGGCCCTCCTGTTCCATCCTGGGCTCGGAAGGAGGAGAGAGGTAAGAGGAGAATGAAGCAGAGGAAAAAGTGAGAGCAGGAAACCCTAGTCGGCGACGAAAGATGTGCTCCCGAGGAAGTTATACCTAAACCAAAACCAAAGCCCGACACCAAAGTAACAAAAGAAACAGTTAGGGTGGTTTCAGGTCTCCTTTTGTCAAGAACCATAGTAAGTTGTGAAGCCACCCTTATAAAATACGACTCCTTTTGAGAGTGAGTCAAAGCTGAGGCCAAAACATCTAACAATGAGGAAAATTACAAATGGGCATCTACATTTTCTCAGAAATAAAATAGATGAAATGACTCCGGGTTTTATAAGTCATTAAATTTGCAATTATTTACATATTTCTAATATTCCTCTAATGGAGTCACTGGTGAAATTATTCTAATAGAGTCACTGGTGAAATTATTCATTCCCATCAAAGTCATCTACTTGAAATAGGTTGTCCTGTTTCCTTTATTAGTGAGCCAGGGATTTCAGCAAGGAAAATCTCCTTCAGCACTTGATTGTATCTACATCCGTTTCGTTGATCTTGGCTACAGTTATAGTGAAACTTTCACCAATACTCACAAAGCAGCCCCACTTTCCCTGTGGCAATTAGCAGCTAAACTCTACCTTATAAGTTTTGCTGCCTAACCCAAGTTAAAGTTCCTCCCTCTCAGATAAGGGATCAGCCCTCACCTCAGGTTAAGTCTGAGGAACAACCTGAAGAACAACATGTCAAAACCTATCACTTGCCTGCTCCCCTGGGTGGCTGAGTCATGGCCTAGATGGCAAGGCCTTCGTTACCAAGTCCAGGTATTCCTCAGGCCTGCAGCTCCATGAACCAGCAGTGTAGCAAGAGTAAGATTATCAATCAGAGGGGTGTATTTTATGATAGGATCAGAAAAAGCCAAGCTTCCAAAATTTGGGGGGTTTTACACAATCATTTGGCAGCACTCAGTGGAATGTACACCAAGCATTAGGGCTAGAAGGAGCCACTGCTATCATTTAATGGGTGAAAATACTGATGCTCAAGGTATCCTCATGAGCAAAAAACATTCTTAGCTAAACATTAAGAATGCATGGAAATGACCCGAAACCAACGAATTACCATATAAGAGAAGGGTCTTATAAGATGTGGTGAAATGCTGGTAAGTTTGCCCCACAGGCGCAGACAAGGTTACGAACTAAAAACATCCCAGCTTTTCCTTCCTCAAGCTGGTTATCATGTACCGCTGTGTATGCCACCCGCATGCCTCAAAAGTAAGTGGTGATGCCGGCTGGCGTGGCTCAGCGGTTGAGCATGGACCTAGGATCCAGGCGATCGGGGTTCGATTCCTGGTGAGGGCACATGCCCAGGTTGCGGGCGCGATCCCCAGTCAGGGACATGCAGGAGGCATCAATGACGACCCTCTCATCATTGATGTTTCTCTCTCTCTCTCTCTCTCTCCTCTCTCTCTCCTCTCTCTCTCTCCCTCTTCCTTCCTCTCTCTAAATCAATATATATATTTTTAAAAGTGAGTGGTGATTTTTACAATAAATACATGGTAACCGTAGTATTATCAAGAAGCAGAATGACATCTGCTTCTTGATGTGCAAAAAATAAGAAATATATTCTCACTCTCTCAAGTTGAGACATTCAAATAAATGATTGCCATCTGACATTAATGATTGAACACAAAAAATGAAATAAATGAGGTCATTTCCTAAAGAGATCAACATGTACCCATAGCACACACATATACGGACAGACACACGTGTTCCCTCGGAGAGCCACCCCGCTAGCCTGGGAGCCCGTGAGTGACAGCCTCGGGGGCGGCAGTGTGCAGTTCCAGAAGCTCCATCTGCACTTTGCTCTTACCCACCATGCTATAGTCACATAGATGTATCCGCAGGTTTTCCTTTTTACTTCTTTTCTTTTGGGCAAGGAAATATGTAAGTTTGATTAAACTCTTTCCCTCAGAGGGAAGACGTGCAATTATAATAACTTAATAATGGCCCCATCAAACAGAAAGTTTCTCTTTCTACTATCAAAACATGAAAAATAGACTCTTTATCTTTACTCATCAAAAATGATATAATTTATTACCTTCAAAGTCCACATCTCCGACTAATTTTACTTTTTCTGTCACTGGGTCACGTACATAGTTGATGCCCACATCAATGACAGCAGCGCCTTCTTTAATCATGTCAGATGTGATCAACTTGGGGACGCCTGGAAGCAGAGCAGAGGTGTAAAACACTCAGAAAACACTTAAACTTGGTCGTGAGCATAACAAAGGTTTACACGTCTAATGTTTTTGTTGTGGCTTTAAAAACCCCACCACATGCACTGTTCCTACCTGTACTGATCATTTGTGATCAAGCAGAACAAAGAGAGCACAGGTGGGCTTCCGTGGGCAAACCCTGCAGGATTTACCCCTTGCCTCTGAGGCTGCCTACAGGATTCTCCACATGGGTACCTGCTTGAGCCGCATTCTCAGTTCCCTGCACCGTAAATGGCAGGCGGAGAGTATGGAGATGAATGAGGCTCCTGCTGAGGTTTAGCGGAGTGAAAACAACTTGGAAATTGAAGGCAGACAAAGGGAAGAGAGGGAGGGAGCGGAAAAATGATGTAAAGTGCCACACACATGTTCCAAACATGAAATGCTCTCTTGAGCTTTCTTTTAATTTTTCTTGGTTTCTCCCATTAATTACATAGTATATGTCTTGGAAAGGTGTAAGATAAAGTAAACCCTACTCACTATTTCTCCATCCCAGTTTGAAAGGTGGCTTTACAGAGATCTTATGTCACCATCTATTTTCTGTATTTTATTTCAAGTACAATACCAGCAAATGGCTAATGTTCCAGTGTTTTTGTTAGTAATTAACAAACCATTCCCAAACTTAACGTCTTAAAAGGACAGTTTATTATGTTTTGTGGTTCTGTGGGTTGACTGAGCTCAGCTGAATGGATCGTCCTTGGCGTCTTTCATATAACTGGAGTCACAGTGGCTGAGGCTGGAGCCACCTGAAGATGTGACTAGGCCGATTTGCCAGGGTGGCTCTCTCACATGGCTGCAGCTGGTGCCCACGGCTGGCTGAGCTCAGCTGGGGCTGTCAGCTGGGGCATACGGGCATGACTGCTCCATGGGCTTAGGGTTCTCACAGCCTGGCAGGTGGCTTCCAAGAATGAGGGTTCCAAGGATCAGGAAGTAGAAGCTGCCAGTCGCTTAAGGCTGAAACCTGGAAACCGGTACAGTGCTGCTTCTGTCATATTCCATTCTATAGAACCCACTTCAATTTAAGGGGGGATAGAGACCCCACTTCTCAGCGTGGGGAGAATCAGAGAATTTGTGGCCATCTTTACCCTACCACAGTGCCTCCGGTGGACACTGTGTCTGGTAGGCGATTTATTCACCTTCACATTCTACATCCCTTGCAGGAAAAGAGCTACCTGCTGTGTTTGCAGAAGCTTTATTCTAGCATCTGACAGTATTCATTTAAGCATTCCAGGTGGCTTAAATGTAACCTTGTGTCATATGAATTTTAGTGCTAGTAAGAATTTAAAGGCTATAAGAAATGGTCAGTGCCAAAATAGATACAGCCATCTCTTAGGTCCCTCAGCCACATAATGATATAACCAATGAGGCATCAGTGTCGAAGACATATTTTTTCCTCCTGCTTTCCCATTCTATCCCATAGACCTTCTTCCTTCTCATTGGTTCTAGAATAGAAATTTAATATTGCTCCGAGATAATCATAAAACCCTGTTTCTTCTTGGCATCCAATAGAAAAAGAAAAGATGCATTCATTATGACTACAGGAAATATTTTTAAGATGAAAATGTTGCTGAAATACTTATTAAATTCTAGCTACTAGGCTTTTGAGAAAGATCCTAATCTCCTTCCCAATTGTAACTGCTCATAATAATCTCTCAGAAAATATCAGATTGGCAATGGACAAATGCACAATTTTCAAAATAGAGGGAAATGTGAGCTTGATTTTAATTCCCAGGAAAATTACAAAATACATAAAACTTAAAATGTATGTTTATTTTTTTCTGAGAAGATGTTACATACATATGTTTATTGTAGAAAATCTGGAAAACATCTAAAAGTTTAAGATAAAAATCAAAATCATTATAACCTTGTCATTCAAAGATAGTAAGTATATTTTGATTGTATTTTTCTAGGATTTCAAAATATTTATGTATTAGATATAAAGTATGAGTCTGTAATTTTGTTTATTTTGTGCCTCACTAAGCATCTTACCACTGTCATTAAAATTAAATTGTGAGCATCTTCCCATTTTGTCAACTATTTGAAATTTAAAATCCATATGAAATAATTTATTAGGTGGATTACCATAATAAGTTGTACATTCCTGCATTCTTTCCAATATTTTGTTGTTTTAAATAATGCAGTGATGATAATTTCTGGTCAGGAAACTACAGATAATTTCTTAACTGAAGCATCAAATTTGAGAAAATTTTTCACGGAACCCTTATTAACATGATGGGAAAACATGGATGAAAACTCCTATTGGTACAGTTATAGTTGTTTAAATAACATATTCCAAAACTGTTGATGCATTTTTGGGTCTATTGAGGCCTTCCATGAAAAGCATTTGTGCCATTTTCAAAATCCTTATAAAGAACTTGGAAGAACACATTGACACTGTGATGGGTATTTTATCCCTGGCCACCTGCAAGCCCATTTTCTACCCTTCTCTGACTTACCCTATGCCAAGGCTGAGGCCAATCCTTACAGAGGTCTGTGTGCTTCCTATTACATAGCCCTGGGACGCTGCCAGCCATGAGAACGGGCTCAGCTAGCCTACTGGAGGGTGCCAATCCTGCGGAGGAGGGCTGAGTCCTTTAGGCTGGGCCATCCCAGGCCAGCCAGCCTCCGCCAGCCACCCGCTGACAGCAGATGCTGGAGCACCAGTCAGGGTCAGAAAGAGCAAGTCAAAGTCACCATGACTGACCCGCTGAACCACAGGCTCATGAGAGCTTTCTTTTAAAGGTGTTTGTTTAAAGTGACTGCATTGTTTTTTGTCTGTTTGTTCTTTTACACAGCAATAACTGCATAGCCTATATTCACAAATGATACAAAATTGGATCAAATAGCTTGTAGGTAGCCACTGTGGAATAATGAACCATAAGTAGCATGAATTTGAAAGGGGATACATGTATAATTCCGAGTAAGTGTTGTACTTGATTAAAAACTCATTAAAAACTATTAGGCTATGATGCTAAGATAAACAGTGTCCAGACAGAAGGAAGCAATGTTTTCCATTATATTTTAGCAGACTGTCTCTGGAAGCGTTGGCTATACTCTAGGGAAGAATGATTAGAATGGATCTGGAAATCATGTTATGTGCAGCAAGTGCTATCAAACTCGTTGGCTCAATTGTTTATCTGCAACAAGATAAAAAAGCTTGAGCCACAATGTAAAGCAACGATGTCACTACACACACTGTCTCACACTGTTTAATTCAGCCAGCTTTATTCTTTCACAGCAAGACCTTTTCAGTGAAGGAAGCAGTATGTTTGCTTATATTCCGGCACAGCTCCTTGTGCTATGACACATAGTTCCCAAAGGGACAGAAACAGCCACGGACCAGTCCCAGTCCACACACTAAACCCTCCTGAAACAGAGGAAAGGCTCAATAAGCTCAGGCTGCCCAACTCAAGAAAAAATACAATCAAAAACAAAATCAAAACCCAGTAATTGAGTAGCTCTTCAGTATGTTAAATTGAATAGAAATTATACTTATTCTGTATGTTTTCAGAGGGAAGGGTAAAGGAAGGAGGGGACAAAGGAACGGAATAGATTTTAGCTCAACACAGAGAATATTTTAAGAATAATAAAATATGCCATAAAGAGAAACTTTATATTGTCCTATTCCTCATTATAAATATTCACAATAAGGTAAGAAAGGGATAGAATTGGGAAGGTTAGTGATGCCTTCGAACTCTATGATTCAAACGTTCTATTTTGTCTAGTCAAACTCAAAAAAAAATAATTGTTTCTTTCTTCTCACGACTAATTCATTTCTGAACCCATGTAGACTTCTCACCCTATAAAAGGCTCAACGAAAGAAAGAAAAGAAATACAAATTTACTTAATGATTGAAATTATAATAAATAGACATAAAAAAATTCTATTTTAGATATGTTAAATACTCTAAGTCATCCACTTATATTGTTGTCTTGTAGGGGCAAATGATTGATGTATTTATTAGCTTCCAAAGTATATAAATGCAATATATTTAAATTCTTATCACTTGAAAATAGTGAAATGGCATTAAAAGCTATTTAAATATTTGGTAAAGAAAAGACATACATACCATTAGGATGTGCAGCCAATGTTTTTTTGCTTTTTGTGAAAGTTGAAAATTAACTGATTTCAAGTGAACATTTCCTATAAGCTTATGTTTTTTATGTGTGATGATTTCTGTGATAATTCTGTGGAAGCCTATCCTTAATTCTTATATAATTTGAAGGCTCAAGTATTATATGTGAGAACCGAAACCATCCACACCCACATAGCTTACTGTGTACATTAACATGACTTTACTATTCCACTGTCTTCATCAACATGACTTTATTATTCCAGGAAACTCTTGCTCAGAAAGACAAAAGCTGCAAGTAATTTAGTCTCAGGAACTTACAGAAAAACTCATTTTAATTAACATCAAACTGACTTTTCAGTAGAGAGTATCAAATGACTGTTTGTTCTCCAAGATTGTTAGAAACCCTTGCTTCAAAACCCTCTCCTTGTTGTGTCTACCAATGCAAAACTTTTATATTATGATCCTTACCCAATCTTAATCAAGCTTCTGCATTAAAAGACTTGCCTTAAAACAAACTTCAATATCTCTTAAATATCCCAACATTGTTTGTACAACCTAAGATGCTACTAAAGTAATCTGGAACTCTGGGGATAAAAAAAAATCCAATTTGTGAAATTTGATGATTTGTTTGGTAGAAATATTCCTATTATGGCTGACTTCAAGCTACTAAGGTAACATCACTGAACATGGAATTGGAAAGAAATACTCAGGATCCACCTTCTCAGGCTGATAGGAGCTGGCTCCAGGACACCACTGCTCCTAAGGGACTGTTCAAATAGTGTCTCCCATACTTCTGTGACCATAGACTAAGATTTGCCTTATCAATGGACTGTTTGGGTGATAACTGGGAGGAGCCAGCATTCAACAATATTGGGG